GGACGGCTTTGCAATGAAAAATACAGCTATACTGGAGCTGAAAAAAAGAAGAAAAAACGTGCTCAGGGTGAGACTCGAGAACACGCATACTCTCCCAGCAGGTGAAGCGCAAATTTTTGTGAAAAATGGGTGTCGCCGACTGACCAGTAATTTCGCCTGACGAGTCACAAAGGAAACAGAATAAATATATTAAAGTCGGATGTTGAACCAACAATAACTGTAGAAATGAAAAGGACATTTGGATTCGAGTTAAGACTAACTCTCCATCACTGTAACTAGATACTACATACTAGTATTTTTTTTTTTTACTAGAGCCACGTAAACTGGTCATGTGTGAGCCATGAATAAGGGGAGTGGTGGCGTGGTCTGGGATGCTCTGCCGACCTTGGGTCTCGGCTTCATCACAACCAGGCGCGCCAATAGCAGAGAGAAAAAGAGAGGGAGAGAGAGAGGGAGAGAGAGAGAGAGAGAGAGAGAGAGAGAGAGACATAGACAGAGAGAGAGAGAGAGACATAGAGAGAGAGAGAGAGAGATAGAGAGAGAGAGAGAGAGAGAGAGAGAGAGAGAGAGAGAGAGAGAGAGAGAGAGAGAGAGAGAGAGAGCGGGGAGGGTTGGGGAGAACTAAATAAAGTATAATTATATAATGCGTAAGGGGTGCACATTCAGATCCAGAGAAAAGAGTAAGCAGGGCACGAGGCGTATGGCAATATGCAGCAGTGTGTGGGCAGATGTGCATTCATCTTACAAAGTGTCAGTGGCCCAGTGCCATTGCTGGGCACGGAGGTGCTGGAAGACAGACACTTTGAAACTTTGCAGCCGTTTCCGGTGAGGTGGCTGGCTGAGGACGGCGGGTGGCAGGGCATTCCAGTATTGAAACGATCTCACTGGGTACTCGTGAGCTCGCTCGCCAGAAACTCGGCTCGTTTGTGCGGCCAGCTCGTTTGCACTAATGAACACCGTACATCGTATTCCATACACATGGCAGTATATGTCGGCCAGGGAGTCGTAAAATATTTTACGATTCCCTGGTCGATCGAGAGTCCAGTCCCACGCAAAGTGAAAATCACTTGCAGTTACAGTGTCTGTATGCTTGCACGACACTTGAGTTGTTTGGGTTGTCATCGCAGCTTTGGTGGACTCTACTGATGCCTTGTTCCGCATCTGAGTGAAAGTTACGCTCAGTTGTTTGGAAGTTTTCTCCTGCGATGCAGCGAAGACCAGGGCTACTTGCAATCTTTGCAAAACGGTCCATTCGTACAAAGGCTACTCAACCACGGCGCTGAAAAGACATCTCGACACCAAACAGCAGTCCGGAGTGAATCAGCAGCAGCAACCCCAATTATGCTGGCGGTGATAATTTGCGGTGATAATTTGAACCAGCTGAAAAAAATCGAACTTAGAAAAAAAAAATATTCAAAAAATCATACTTGCTACATCAATGAAACTCGTTAGCTCGCTCGATAGCTTGCTCGTTAGTGGAACTGGTCGCTCGTTTGTTATAGATATGCTCGTTTCAACACTACTATGTACAGTCAGAAAGTGCAAGAACTAGGCACAAAACTGACAGAGTACTGAGACATCTCGAATCGTGGTTCGACCTTATTGTCCATTGGTCTTGCCAGTATTGTCATCGCAATGCATGAACATCCGCCAACGTCTTTCACAGCGGAGACTTTCAGCTCGTGCTTATCTTGCTTGCGCTCACCTTCCCCTTCTGATGTTATTTCTATAACTTAAAACCTTCCCCTATATATCCCATACCTTCCATATCTAGATACTAGATACTCTAACAATTTTATCAAACATTATGATAATTACCACATCAAATGCTGCGGAGACCTATCCAGAATCGGCAATATGCTGGCCCTGGCCTGGAGATCTGCAACTATAATCAGCTTCTACTTTGCAACACTAACAGATTAGTCCCCTTTGTCGATTGATGGATCAATCGGTAGATTCGGCTCTGTTTTTCTCTCCTTTCTTTCTTGTTTTGAATTGTACGTTGAACTCATTGGATTTCTTTGTATTCTGTATCTCGTTATCGTTATCGTTAGATTTCCCTCTAGCCCTCTCGCTTAGGATGAGCTTTCTTTTTTATGGCAGCTTAAGCGAAGGCTATATACCTGCTTTATGCAGGTTGATGCCAACGCGAACAAGCAAAATAATAATAATAATAAAACCTTCCAAGTTAGAAGGCTGTTGGAGTGCACATCCAAGATGTGCTAGAGCTGTTAGCCAGTTAGTTGTGAAACCAGGGCTGTTCCGAGTGCGACATTTATCAATATGGCGGCGTACCGTAGCAACCCGCTTCGCAATAGCTCGCGTACGCACGGCGTGCCGACGCGTGCAGTCTTACTTCACATTTTTCATATTTATCGAAGAAAGTTTTTGTTTTTGGGGCAATGGATTCGTGCTTTGGAGAGGTCGTATGAGGCCATGCTGGAGGAGAATAAGTCTACCAAGACCTGGAAGCCTCCCTTCGGCGAAGTACTGAAGTTAATATGTCCTGGAGTCAATACAGGAATTGTTTTCAAGACGATGCAGTGTAATAAATTCTAGTATTGTAGTGCATCATGGAATTCGGTGTGTTTGAAACTTCGGAACAAGAAGGGGGCACGTTTGCTTGACTCACTACCATCATGACGTGAACAGATGGAACCCCATTGCTCTTATTCTAGAACATGTTCTCCCCCTGAGGACAGCTTACAGCCAGATTTCCATGCATAAGAAAAGAGCACAAATAAATCGTTAGACTGATGGCAATTCATCTTGGAGAAGGAGAAGGATAGAATTCGATCGTCTGCTACTCTCTCAGCGCAAAGTTGATGACATAGCAGCTACCTGTACGCCTCTTCATGCGTGTGCTCTTCACCTTGGGGATCAATGTGAGGATTTTAGGATTGCTGGAAATCAGATTCTGTATACTATTGGACAGCAGTTTCTGCATTGCACATGCTCCACAGTGCTCATCGGCAAGGATGTTGAATTTGTGTGTAACCCTTCACCAACCTGCTCTCCATACTATTCCAGATCAGCACCAACTGAACATTGAAGTGTTTCATTTCCAGTAGAATGTGCTCCTCCAATAAGTGCGGCATTGGAGGTGGTGATATTTATTGCCACAGTTGCACTGCTGATCTTCGTCATGAAAGAAGCAATGGATTTTGTCAAGTCAACCAGTGGGCTTGCAGTGATAAGCAAAGTACCACAATACATCATCAAGTGTCATAGCATGGTGGAGTTGGTTGCCCGCAACACTTCCATGTTGGTGTTGTTAGTGTACAAATAGAGGATATCTTCCAGTCTCTGACTTTTAGAGCACATGGACCTGCTATAGGTGCTATTCTATCAATGCTTGTTTCAAGTCACATAATTATTTAGCTTCTTACAGCTTTGATTTAATTTGCCGTATTGTAATTAATGTGAAGAAGAGGTTGATGCAACTTCGGCGATACTTGTGGAATTGTGTGTTGCTCCCTACGTGGGAGCTTGTGCTATTCCTGCCGACTTGAATTTTCGCTTGACCGACTTGTTATTTTAAAATGAATTCATGGACATCTGTCAATTCAGCAGGTGAACTGCATTGCCATCGAGCCCTGAGCCAGCTCCATAGGAATGGCACGGTCATGAAGATGCGTGATGCTGTGTATCTTATTCGCATCAGAATAATAACCTGTTTGTTTTGGCTACACACTCCGGTAGCAACAGATACTCTGCATAATGCAGCTTGTACAGTAGTCCTCACTAAAGAAGAAAGCAGTTTAGGAGGGACTCTAGTGAGGAGTGTACGAGGATAGCCTGTTAGTGTTCTACATAATCATTTCCATATTGAACATGTTACATGTAATTATCATGAACGCCGAGAGTGGTAAAACCGGGTACGGCCATTACCAGCGGCTGCGGCCCTGTCCTGAGTGCCATGCTGTGCTTAGTGCTGATGCAGTGCAAGATATATAAGCTGCATCATGGTTGCCGTTTGTTGTTGTTCAATTACTTGAAGTATTTCCGTATGGTCTTCACGCATGCAAGTGTGTGCTTTTCAGCAGGATCGTCGAAAGACTTCATTGTGCGAGGCCTAAATCTGCAGTAAAATTAGTAATACAAAAAAACCCATGCCTATCTGTCTAACATTTAAAATCTGTACACAATGTCCTGCTTGTACATACATTTCGAAAGCATGGATTTCAAAAAATGTTCATTGGATGCATGTCTGATTTGTACTTGCTGACATCCAGAACGAAGCATGCACGGATCCCTCCTATGGCAGACGAAACCGGGGTCTTCGTTAGACATCGAGGCAGGAGAGCACACCTCCACTCGTTCTGCATATATCAGCAAACACTTGCAATTGACGTCCAAGTACGCCACGCAAATCGACTTGGGCACGAAAACGATAATCTGGGCGGCAATGAAAATATAACTACGACGTAGGAAAAGGACAAACCTTTCAATGAAAATTGGCATGAAGGCTGCTAAAAATTCTGCACCCCTTAGGAGGAAGCCTCGAATGTGAGCTGATTCTGATAAACGCCAATGGCCGGCACGCCGAGGAAGAACGAAATGAAAAAGGTCGTAACTTCACTTTCCCATTGCGCATTTTGACGATCAAAATATATGCTTGCGCAGCTTGAAGGCAAGAAGGTGAATTCGCTTAGACTTCGCGAATCCAGCGTAGAAAACGGCTGGAATCGACAGAAACATAGGCTAAACCTTGCCAAATATTTCCAGAAATTTGAAAAAGGCAGCAAGGTCGCGTAAGACTGCATCATGGATCACTGGGGCGACGGGAAAATGTCGTACGGTACATAATGTCGCTGGATTATGCATGCATAACAGCCGTGAAACGTCTGTTCTGTCGGTCAGTGTCGTGCGCTATTATCGCACGAGCTGATTGTTTAGTAATTTGTGGTGTTAATGGACTGTATAGCATAACGTGTAGTTCCTTGGTCCTTTATTTTGTGTATAAAATACCGCTTTATTCTGTGCCTTATTGCATCTAGTTCTTTGCGCTATAAGCATTTGACGAATCTCAGTGGCTCAGCATTTCAGAATAACAAGAACGTTACGTATATGTAAGTCAATTTTCAAAACGAATCTCACTCTAAATGGCAATCAAGAGTCCTCACTATGCCGTAATGATGCTTAAGGCTGCGTTTACACGATTGAAAACGATTTGCGTTTACACGACAACGAAATACGACCCAACCGGAACTATATTGTTGCGTTTACTACTATCGTTTACACGACAACGACCGAAAACGATACCTAAACGGAACGAAATGGAAAAGCACTTCAAAGTGTTTTGAACAGTTTTCAAAACGTTTTCATTCTCGTGTATTGGGGTCGTCCATAAATATCGAACTTTTTTCACAAAACGAAATAATTTCGTTATGGGGTGGGAGGGGGTTGACCAATTTCGTTTCAGAAAACATTGATTCATGTACATGTCCGTTGTATATGCATGTATGTCAACATTTTTTACGTTCTGAGGGGGAGGGAGGGAGGGGTTGGGTCTAAACTAAAATAATTCGTTTGGTGAAAAAAGTTCGATATTTACGGACGGCCCGGCCCCTAAACGGTGAAAACAGTGAAAACGATTGGAAACGAAGCGCGGTCATGGAAACCATTAACTAGCGGGAAATACCCATTCCTTGCGACCACCAGCACATACCAACTCCAACTAACGTGTTACTTCCCGCCCGTCCGCCAAGCCAGCACGTGCTAACTCCAGACTGATCGCCCGTTTTCCGTTTAGTGTAAGCGGTTTAAACCGATTTTCCGTTCTCGTGTAAAAGGTTTGAAAACGATTCGAGGCCAGCCCGTTTTCGTTACGTTTCGTTTCATTTTGTCTTTGTGTAAACGCAGCCTTATTCCCGTAGCTATGAAAAAGATGGGGTACATGGACCGCACAGCATCATCAAAGACAGCTGGTCACCTTAATCAAATAGAGCTTTCACCTGCAAATTCATAACGTGGTTGTTGTCAAAACTTTATTCTCACGGTACCCAGTGACCAATAAGCGATAATGGTGTGAGAGAGGAGAAAGAGTGACGAAGAATTGGGTGAGCAGGGATTAGTGACTACGTGTATGGGAAGGGTGGTCGCTACACGAGCATACAGAGTTCTGGAACAGCAGGGATATCTGGGATTTGAAAGAGAGTGCCAGAAGGGATTTCGCGAAGCTGGGTGGACAATCAATTTTAAAAGTAATGAAGGACATTGTACAGGCAGAATGGAGACAGGGATCAGTGCTTCCGGTCTGGAGTCCGACCTAAGATGTGGAAGACGGCCAACGTGCTTTAAATCCACAAGCAATCTTCCTGCTCAAACCTTAAGAATTACAGGCCCGTACCCTTGCTGTGCATAATCTCGAAAGTCATGGAAACTCTTGTTGTTATGAAACCACAATTTCTCAAGTGTGACAGGCCTTCTCGCTTGTGACATTGTGTTCGTTTCAATGCAGTTGTATCTTGACTCCGCCGTGCCGCTGATGTGTATGAGGTGGCATACGCTACATGCGCTATGTGTGATTTGCTGTGTGCGCTATAGTTGTATGTTGTATGTGTTTGCTGTCATGTTCACGCTATAACTACCTGGTGGTTTTAGCGCTAGTTGCTGTTGATCAAAGTTAAATATACTGTCAAGAGTTAATAGTTGTCCTCATGCAGTGTGGTCGTTCGATCCTGACAATTTAGAGAATCACAGAGGGTTCACAACATTTGGAGACCACGCCAGGACGAAGCGAGCATGGAACAGGAACTAGGTTATTTGGAAGCCAACGTTTTCGCCAACGGAATTCGGTATGTATTTGAAGGCGATAGGTTGATGGAATACGTGGAGAAGAGGCTCCGATAGTGCGAGGAGCGTGAAGAACGCCGTGTCAGACTGCGCAAGGGTGTGCTCCGCACAGAGTTTAAAGAAAAGCTCAAGAAGATGAGAGAGCGCATCGTCAGAGTGTATGAGGGTAATGGCGACGCTACGCGTGTGAGGTGGATGGGAGGTACAGCGGAGGCTCCCTGTCACAGCGGTGGGTGTAGGCCTTTAATGAAAGTATCGACATACGACGAAAGGCAGCCACTGGAGTGTTATCTCCACCTGTTCGAGGACATCTGTGTCAAGAATGAGTTTGAGGAAAACGAATGGCTGCTGCGATTGCGTATCGCTCTGTCGGGTAGCACTGTGAAAAGGAACTGTATTGGCTGCAGCAGGGGCATTGACAGACTGCACCAGTGGGGCCATACAAGGAAAGTGATTTTTCAACCGACCATATCCAAGGCCATGACAGCCACCCTCAGAGGCCATACATGGAAAGTGATTTTTGACCCGACCAAATCCCAGGCCATGACAGTCACCCTCAGACGCGCCGGCTTAGATCTCCCGCACTCCTGTTTGGTGGCACACTGGTACCCGAGACAAACAGCATCACCCTCCTTGGTGTGAAGATGGACACCAAGTTGACCTTTAGCGATCACCTGATCCCCCCGATAGGCTATGCCTTTGGGAGATCATTTAAGGTGGCAGACCACCCGAAAATTCGGTGAAAAATAAAATTTGTAAATTCATATCGAGTGCTACGTCAGTTGAAAGAGCATGAATAGCTGCAACATCTCTGAACATTTTGTCTCGATCTGACCAGCCGTTCAAGAGTTATGGCCGAAACAATGTGCCCTTGCAAGGAAAAAGATTTTTTGCACACTGTCATTTTTTGGCAGCACTGTATTTGAATATGAGCAGACCGTGCAAAACTTGTCCTATCATGGAAACACGCGAAAGTGTGCAGAATTTTGCTCCAAGTCCAAAAATCACGTTTTTTAGCCACGTATTGGGCTGCACGTGCAGCAGGACCTTTGCCAGCACCCTCGTGACGTTGCAGATATGTGGCTTGAATATTGTGGTTGACGTTGATTTAGTGACTTTGTCAAGTTTGAGTCGTGTCAAGAAGTCAGGTAGGATTCAGTACTAGGCAGTAGTGGAACGCGAGTGGTAGTCTTTGCCGATTTTTGAAGGTATCCTGGATTTGGTGTGCAGCGTTGTGGAAATGGCTTGCTGTGGACGTCCCAGCACTGGATGTTGTATCAAACGTACGACCTCGTAGCACATGCTAAACCTAAAGAAAAGCAAAAATTGACTTGGGTCTGTGGGAGACTGTGAGAGAACGCAAACTCGTTCCGTTGTGACAGATTCCAGGGCCACTTTGAGAGGGCCCCTACCCCACCACCAATGGCTGCTTCTGGACTTGTTTTAGGTTTGGATCCCGCGCACGGACAGAATGGGCACGAAAATGTGAACAAATTGTAAATGCATTCTTTTGGCTCCTGGGTGTCATGCACACCGAGGCACTATGCTGGAATTTTGAGTTTTTCCGGCCTGGAAAGCCTGTCAGCGAGGCGCAAGACCTTTTAAATCATGCCCAGAGAGCCAGCATAATGGAAGAAGTTTGTGGTCAAACTTTCACTCAAATCCATTGAGATACACCAAAGTTACGGTCAATTGAATGCCATATGGAATTTATGGGTAGGCTGACCCCCTTAAATAATAAACACAAACTACCTACGCTCCACAGCCACCCGTGCACGCCAACGGCTTGGGGTCCTAAACAGAGCCGCCCACATCATCACCTGCGCCGGCAGGAGGACCGTATATAAGGCGTTCGTACGCCTCTTGTGTGGATGGGAGCTGTGCAGAGTCACCTCCAGCGTTTGAACAATGTTCAGCGCTGCGCACTGGATGCTATCGGTCCTGGTGGACACCTAACCAGCCTGGCCATCCGCTGTACTGTTGCCTCGCTTGCCTACCCGTACCAGCTGTACTGCTTGCCTGGTCCTCCGCATCTGCTCTCTGTTCGCCACAACGCAATATCCCCTTGACTAGCCCCAGAACTCGCAGCGAGCACGGTAGTGTCATTGGCCATGAGCACCAGCTAAGCATTTCCCAAATCGGCCCGATTTTTTCGCCTAATCGGCTTTTCTATCGGCTGAGAGAATGTCCAAATTCGGCCATATTATGAGCCCCAAAGTCAGAATTCGGCTCAAAGCAGTACTTGAAATCACCTATCACAGCATAGATGTAAAAAAATTGCAATGGACTGTCATTAAAACAGAAACAGATAAAATAATAAGGCACCCATTTTGATAGTCCAGGGGATGGCCCACGCCTGGTGAAGAAAATAAATAGAGAAAAGAAAAGACGGATATTTGACAGGAAGTGCAAGTACAATGGGGATGCAGTGCAAGTAGTTAGTTCTCACAACGCAAAGCCACACTGCGCAACAGCCAAAGCTGCGGCCGTCAGAGTTGACAATTAGGGGAAATTCGAGCTGTGTGCAGTTGCCAGCGGCGTTCTTCAACTTCGCCCGCCACTGTTTGTCTCAGAGGGACCCAGTTGAGAGGCCTCGACAGAGGCTGTCCTCCTTTGCACGTCGTGATCGGAACTGAGTGGCGATCGCTACAGTCACGGAATTGGTGAATGCCTGCTGAAGTGCTGGGTCATAAGGGTGTTTTCTCCGGTTGCGCCAGCGCTTTTTCTTCTCCCTCTCGGTCTGGGTGCATTCAGGCGTCCACCATACCGGATCGGAAGGCCTCGTTTCCAGAACTTTGGATGGGACAAATTATGCAACAGCTGCAGTTATCGAAGCGGTAACTTGCTCACAGGAAATTTCCTTTGTGATGATATCACCCCATTCCACGTTGCGAAGGTGCGCCCTGAGGCGATCCCAGTCTGCCCTGTTGTAGCAAGATACTGGGGGGTTCACGTCTATGGAGCACATCAGAAAAGTCTGACAGTACAACTGAATGGTCAGATCGACCGAGGGGTGGAAGTGTACGTGTAGTTACTGGGGACGTGAATGTTGACATTATGAGGTCTAGTGGGTTGTCTCCACGGGTGACATGCTGAAAAAGAAGATGGGCGGCAGGTATCTTCGAGAGCCTCGCCTGCAGGCGTAGTTTTCGAGCTGTTCAACCAAGCCTGGTTGTGCACGTTGAAATCGCCAGCTAGGATAATGTGGGGGCCCTGCTGTCTAGCTTCTGGGAGGATGGTGTCGGGATGGTCAATTAGGGTGAGATCGCCAGGG